ATATAAATGAAAAATTTCAAAGGAAGGTAAGAGATTTTTAATTCTCAATAAAAATGTTAATCCATAAATTAATTACGAGGATTTCTCTTTCAAGTCAAACCTAACATTCCGCGATCTGTGAATGCGACTTTTGATACACGCTGTACATACATCTCTCTCCCCCTCCTTTTTGCTCCATCTCTCTTTTTCGTTCCGCCTCAGAATTCCGACGACGGGTACATTTGTCGTGGGAAAAAGGGTTTGCCGAATGTCTCTGTATTTACCAGGCTGTCCGGGTAAATAGACGCGCGCGGAAGGGAACGATTTAGCGGAACCGTCTAAATATCTGCAACGAGGTGCATTCTGCGACGCGGATGTATGCCGCGGATATCGAGCGCTCCTTATTTAATCGGCGGAGATACTTGCTTGGGTAAACCGTGCCTCGCTACAATTACAAGCGCCGTTCATTCGACTGGTTGGCGAGAAAACCCAAGCGCGATTTTATCCAACTTTTAATTCAACTTTGGACTTTGTATACATGTGTGTGTGTGTGTGTGTGTGTGTGTGTGTGTGTCTGGCTAAAGACACCTGTCGATTACGGTTAAGCTTTTCAACGCACATTAAGTCCTCTCGGGAGACGTGGAAAAAATTTTGTGGTATTGATATAGAGATCGATATTTAATTGATTGAGAAACGCGGAGTGTCGATTATATGCAAGGACGCGTTTTGTATTCGGATTTGAACGTTGGATTGAGTAATCGCAAGAGGATTACGTTTTGAATCGAATAATTTGAAGGGAAAAGGAAAGGCCCGGCCGTGTATCATCCGCTCGTGAGTTGGCGTGTCAGCGCCCAGAGAGCGCCAGTTTACGGATCACGATCTGCTATTATCTTTACCTTTGCTACTTTCTTTGCTGTGCAAACGACGTTTGTATTAAAAATAATATTTTACATATAATTCTGTAATCCGGGGTTCTCGTTACTTTTAAAGGAATATTCAATATCGTTGTATTACCTTTAAATTAATACGTCTTGTCACGTATGTACAGTTGACAGCTTATATTACAAAAAAAAATTAAAATGAAATAACAATTAATTGAACGTGGAGAACGTATATTTATTATTTTCTTCGCTGTTGGAATTTATCGCTGTGGAAAATAATTATAATCCTCTTGAATTTTAATAAAATCCGACCGAGATATAACTGCTATTATATACGATTGCAGTTTTAATGCGAACGTCGCTTCTCATTTAATCGCCAAACACGTGTTACCGGTTTGGCGCGCGAATCTTTCTTTTGGTGCGCGCTTCTCATCTCATCGAGACTCTCGGGGAGCTGTCTTAATTTATCGATAACGATAACGTATATCACGTGGAAGAACCGGAATCGACATGTCGGTCATGGTATTATCGCGAGCGAAACAAGATACAGTCGATTCGCGATGCGAAGTTAATTCACTATCGACGGTTAATGTATGCGAGAGCGAGAGCTTGATGATTAATGAAGTAATTTGTATAACCGTCTTCCGCGAGTAATTTAGCGCGTCAAAAAAAAAAAAAAAAAATAATTTGTCGCAAATGGAGCGGAAACGGCAGGATCGCCGGTCCGCCGCCGAGGAGTCCGCCTGTCCGAAATACGTGATCTGCGACTGTCCCCCATTATATTTGAACGATGCGGAAAAGTGTCGTCAAATAAATACGGATTATACTATAGAGAAGTTGCGACAACTCGTATCGGATCCCGTCACCAGCGATCATGTCGCACGAATATTGCGACTCTTGTTTGATTATCTGCGTGAAATCGGCGACGACGGTTACGTATCCTTTCATCTGCATGTATAAAAAATAAAAATCTATGACCGCGAATAGTCGGAGCTTGCTAATTTATGTGACAAGATAAAAAATATATTGGTGTTCCTCCTCCTGCTTTTAAAAAGTTGTAATTTAGAAACGTGAGATCTATATTTTTATTTCGAAAATAGATCGGAAGAGCACAC